ATGGTGACGGGGGTCGTGGTATCTAGGTTCAGTATGGTTCTCCATCTGTCTCTTATACACATCTAGATGTGTATAAGAGACAGCCCTCCCTCCCTCCCTCCCTCCCTTGATTCTCTCCCTCCATCCCTTCTCCCACCCTTCCCCTCCCTCCTTCCATTCACTTTCGCTCGCTTCCCTCCCCACCTCTCTCCCTCACTTCTGTCCCTCATTTCTCCCTCCCTCTCTTCCTCACCCTTCCCTCCCTTCTTCCTTCCATCCCTGCCTCCCTTCTTCTAAACCTCCCTCCCTATTCCGCCTCCTCCCACGCTCCCTCCGCCCCTCCCCCTCTCCCTCTCCCTCCCTTCCTTTGTTGCTGTCTGTTTGTCTTCCTCCCCTCCTCTCCGTCTCCCTCTCTCCTTCCTTCACTTGCCCTGACCATCCATCTGTACGTCCTTCCCTCCCCCTTTCCCTCTTTCACTCTTTTGTTTCGTTCTTCCTTACTTCCTTTTTCTGATCCCTTTCTTGCCTTCCCTCCCTCGTTCTTTTTGCTTCCATGCAATCGCTTTATCTGTAAGCCAGGCTGGATCTCCCAATAACAAAAACGATAGCGAAAACGTGCAAAGCGTCAACGTGACACTCAGAGCATTACTGCCCAGAGCTGGCAAGATCCAAGTTTTCCTCCATGCTTCCCCCAGATGCACTTCCTATTGTTTAAAAGTGCACCTGGTAATGATGACAATGATGATGATGATGATGATGATGATGATGATATTCATGACGACAACAACAATAATGATGATGATTATGGCGATGAGGACGATAACAATGACAATGATGATAAAATGATGATGACAATGACAACAGCAATGGCATGTATGACGATGATGATGAAGATGATGTTGATGATGATGATGAAGATGATGTTGATGATGATGATGATGATGATGATGATGATGATGATGATGATGATGATGATGATGATGATGATGATGATGACACCATCACTGCTGCTTCTGCTCCTACTGCTTCGGCTGCTGATGATGATGCAGGGACTGAAGAACAATCGCCTCAAGATCATTCCTCAGGAGATTGGTCAATTGCAGCGATTACAAGTGTTCGAAGTAGAAGGGAACCCCCTAGTGTCTCCGTTCAGAGAATTGTGCAGGACACCACGGGATGGTGTTGCTCTGGTGAGAGTCTTCAGGTGATTAATTGTTTTTGGATGTGATAGCTTAATGGAAGTAATCGCGAACGTGTCAAGCCATCAATCGTCCAATACCCTAGGCGCCCCACTTGTGTGGGCATGGCACCTGTCAGCCCTTCCTCCTGACATTTTCTATACAGAAAATCATCACTGCTTGATCAAACTTTCACACTTGTTACGATTCTGGCTATTTCCGAAGTGCAAATTCACAAGGAAAGACAATGCCACCCAATCGCAAAAGAAATGAAAACACTTGCAAAAAGGTAGAGACCAAAGGAGGAGGAAGAAGAAGAAAGAAAGAAAAAGAAGAATAAGATGTACACCAGCAAGAGCAATGACAAATCCCCCTTTTCTCTCCACTTCCCTGCTCTTCCTCGTCTCCGCCAATCTTTTTTTTTTTTTTTAAACAGGTCCTTATGGTCCTGGCTCCATATCCATTCTGGGGAGCGTCAGTCCGGTTCCTATTCCCCCGGCAAGTCAAAAACGGATTACATCATATTACCCACTCAACGCTTCCTTCCGTCTGGCCGAAGGACCCCTGATCAGCATTGATTGCTCCTTCTAAGGAGTATTGACTGTCAGCTCGCCCTGACCATTTGTTCCTCTCAGGCTTCTATTTAGAGCCTGTCGAATAAGTCCCTGTAATGCGAGAACAGTGGGGGGGTCCGCTCTGTGTTCTGTTGCTTGTCCTTGTCTTTCCCTGTGTGTCCAGTCGTCTTTTGTTGATCACCATTCAGATCCTTCTGCCAGGTCTCCCGGCATGTATCCTTGTGGTCTTCATGCTTCTGCCGGGTGCCATTTCCTCCATCTCAGTCTATTGTCTACTATTGTTGCCACCTTGCCTTTTAGCAACCAGTTCCTTATGAAAGTCTGTTTCTTGGTTGCTTGTCTTTCTGGTCTGTGTCTCGTAGAGTTTGCTATTCTCCGCCATCTGCTCCTGATTTCCGTCTCTGCCATGCTCAGCAGTAGTGATCACATTTCTTCTCTTGCCACCTCTGTTCCCTTGATTGTCTGAGTACATCTGTGTTTCCATATCACCCACAGTGCCAGCTTCCTGAGTATGGTGAACCATACTTCCCTGCTGCCTGTGATGTTGCTGGAGATGTTAGTTAGAAGTAGGATAGAGATAGGGGGGATGTTTAAGGGGGGGCCAGCGAACAGGAACGACCATAGCTTGCAGATCTTCTTCCATATCCAGATTGCTTCAGGGCAGAAGAGGAGGCAGTGGGGGATGTCTTCGGGTGAGTCGTTGCTGCACATTGAGCAGCATGCCAAGCTATCAGGATCAGAATGTTTCCTTCTCTCGTGTAACCATTGGTTGACTGGCAGGGCTGCATGTGCTATTAGCCATTGCGTACTACGGATTCTACTTGGTCTGATGAGAAGGTACTTGGTCCATGTGATGGTGACGGGGGTCGTGGTATCTAGGTTCAGTATGGTTCTCCATTTCTCTGCCAGTCTTGAATTCGGGTCCCTGGTTTGTAGTCCGAGGTTGTACCCGACCTTTACGTCATAATCTGTTATCCTTCTCGATTTACTGGCGGCGCCCAGATCCCAGATCCATTCCTTTGGGTCGAATTCCAACTCGTTGATGCTGAGTTCCGACTGGAATATAACCCAGGGTGTCTTGTGAGAGACTCTAACCTTCCTGAGAAGGTAGGTTTCTATTTGTTCGTTCTGTGATGTTTTGTTTAGGATCTCTAGTTCATATAGGCCGTGTTTGATGATGGGGTAGGATACAAACTTGGCCTGGTAGTTGATTAAGTCTGATTTTGACACAAAACGGTAGGGTTTTGTTGGTGGGGTCTGTGTGATGAGCAGTCCCCAGTCTCCTGGTTTCCACGTATGTGTCTCTTTTAGGAGGGTCGTCCATGGGGGGGGAATGCTTTGGAGGATTTCGGACAGGTTGGTGGTCAGTAGATGGCAGCCTTTTAAAGGAGTGGGGAGGTCCTGCGCGGTGAACCGTTCGTGTCGGTCTTTGGACCACAGATGTTTGACCTGCCATACTCCTCTCTTCACCCATGACAGCCATATGCGGTCTTTGGCCCTGAGAGTCCACGGTCTGCCCTCTGTGTCTTTGATCCAGGGATTGCAGAACAGGGGTTGTTGTAGGACTTCCTGTTTGTTGCTCGGGGGACCTTTCTTTTCTGGCATCAGTCGACGCCAGGTCTTCAGGATCGGGGACCAGTAGGGGGTGGGTGTAGTGGGGGGTTGAATGGGGGTCACTGGGTTAGTTTTCCGTCTCCGCCAATCTTATTCTTCTCCCAAATCATAATAATAATGACGATGAGTGGTTGAACCAGAATCAATATCCAAAGTTCCCTCTTACTGCCGGCTTAACAAGAGGTCCACCATAGCCATGGCCTCGCTCTTCTTCTTCCTCACACAGGCCTAGGCTATGACAGACTACTAAGGGCTCTGTCCTCCTGTGCAAAAGACAACGCAAATCAGCTATGGTCGCTGTTCTTCAGGCTGCCATTCCTGACTCTGCCTCAAAGCTTCCTTGGTGCGGCACTACCCCAGCTGGAGCCTTCGAGATGAAGCGCTTGACAAGGTGATGAAGATGGTGTCCACTATAGCCAGGTAGGTACCTCGCCACTCTCCTCCTTCTCCTCCTTCTTCCTCCTCCTCAAGCTGGGCTACTTGCCATAGCCAGGCAAAGCGCCCAACTCTTCTCCTTCCTCTCAGGCAGCACTCTGAGAACCAGAGCCCACTCAAGCAGCATGACGCCCAAACTTGCATACCGAAAATGAGGTAGAACCCAACGCTCTACCTGGAGATTTAGCGGCGTACTTGCCTCTTGGGCGGTGACTTCCAGGCCGCGCGGCCTCCAAGCAACATCATTGCAAGCTCTGATATCGTCCGCACATGGCCTAGACTCAGGCTATTTGGATTGTACCCGCTTACCTCTAGCCTACCGCTACTTGGCCTCTAAGACTGCCAACTTTTTGTTGTAATCTGCTTGGCCTTCAGTTCTCGACACATCTACCGCTACTTGAGTGGTACCGGCCTACCTGCCACTTCCTGCTACTTGAGTGTTTTCCCCGCTGCAAGCCTCAAAGTCACGGCCATAGGTAAGTACTAGCCCCACAGGCCTCACAACACACAAGTGCCTTACTAGCCCCACAGGCCTCACAACACACAAGTGCCCTCTCAGGCCACACACACACTCAAGCAGACATGCACTCAGACAGGCACACGGACCAGCAAGCACTCAGACACACACAGACTTAGAAAACTCAGCACAACGTGGGAATCTCAACAAGGCATACATTCCAGTAGCAAAACCCAGAAATCAGCAGTGTTCTCAGTCTCTGTTTTGGCGGGTCATTACACTACCCCCCTCTCAAGAGCGAGGTCCCTTCGAGCAAATAACTCATGCAAAGTCCCTACAAAATGCGTCATAAGCGTAGATGAGGCAGAGAGTTGTGGTATGACCATAAGGAGTAAGTGTTGCAGAGAATTAGCAGTCTGTCTATATGTTGTTCTTAAGCTTTAACAACACGAGGAACATTTTGTAACAGCTCTTTCCGGTCAATCCAGTAGAACTCATCCGATGGGTGGTATAGGAAGTGAACTTTGTACTGTTTGTTCTTCCCTTCATGTGAAACGATCCTCAAAATTATTGAGGTCCACGTGGTCATGGGAAGCGCTTAGTACGTCATTATTACGACTGCTTGCGTATTCATGCATAGCTAGTCGATATGATTAAGGCCTATGTCGCGGTGACATTTATTCAGAGTCTCACGTGCGACATCCGCTTAATAATGTTATCGAAAGTTATGGGTTGAATGTGAAAAATGGACTAGGCGCGATTTTCGTAAGAGGTTTGGTTTATTCTGCAAAGTGTGTCTCGTGGTTAGATTGGTCGTCCTAGTCGACCGGCGTCAAATCTCGTTTGGGAGATCAGTGCCTCAGGCGACGATTCACGCACGGGTCTGATTAGGGCGTTAACCGCGCGTACCCCATATGCTACAACGAACCAGAAACACCCTCGGCCGGACCACCTCGGCGATTGCATATGAAAAACTTTCGCACGCCTCGCGACGACATTTGTTCAGAGTCTCACGCGCGACATCCGCTTAATAATGTTATCAAAAGTTATGGGTTGAATGTGAAAAAGGGACTAGGCGCAATTTTCGTAAGAGGTTTGGTTTATTCTGCGAAGTGTGTCGCGTGGTTAGATTGGTTGTCCTAGTCGACCGGCGTCAAATCGCGTTCGGGAGATCAGTGCCTCGGGCGACGATTCACGCACGGGTCCGATTCGGGCGTTAACCGCGCGTACCCCATATGCCACAACGAACCAGAAACCCCCGCGGCCGGACCACCTCGGCGATTGCATATGAAAAGCTTTCGCACGTGGTCCGGTAGCTCGGCAGGGATACGCCTACCTAGGGGATGGTGACAACTCCCACGGGTGGAGGTAAGTTGTACCTCGCGTGGCCCTATCATATCGTAGGGGTTCGTGAGAGGTATGGCTGGCGCACTCGGCTGGAGCGGCAACGCTCTACGTGACAAGTCCTGCAAAATCCTGCGTGACGTGGCCAGGAGGGTCCCCCTGGGGGACCGATGCGCTCGCCAATGTAGCAGGAAATATCAACTCTTTCTATCACCAAGCGGTAGAACATCACTCGGTCTGGCTCATCCATCAGGAACAGTATGGCGATGAGCACTTGCGAGCACTACTGCCTCCGGAGAGCAATCTGACTAAACCTCCTTCTTCCCCCTGTGTATGGTCAGGCAGCATGCCCTTTGTGTGGATCGGACGGATTCTACCACGAACAGTGAAGGGACCCCTCTAGGGGATGGAGATTGTGCCCTCCTCCTATTGTGTCATCACATAGGTACAGTCCGGTTAGCATGTGCACGGCATAGCCTCTGCTCCGAACACTATGAAGGGATGGTCGCTGCCAGCCTCTGCCACGAAAACTGCGATCCTTTGTCTTTTGCTCAACCCCCCCCCCC